GTGTGTGTGTGTGTGTGTGTGTGTGTGTGTGTGTGTGTGTGATCGCGGGGGGGAGGCGACCACCCCACCGCCAATCAATCAATCAATCAATCAAATCTAACAACATTTTTAATTGATTTTTTAAAAAAAAATCGTTTTTTTTTCGTTTTTTTTTCTCATTATCAATCAATCAATCAATCAATCAATCAATTAACCAATCAATCAATCAATTAACCAATCAATCAATCAATCAATCAATCACCCAATTAATCAATAATCAATCTTTTTTTTTTTTTTCACACCCGGGACCTTGCGGGCAGGCAGGCAGGCAGGCAGACATGCGGGCAGGCAGACATGCGGGCAGGCAGACATGCGGGCAGGCAGGCAGGCAGGCAGGTAGGCAGGCAGGCAGGCGGGTAGGCAGGCAGCCAGGCGCGCAGGCAGGCACACAGGCAGGCAGGCAGGCGCACAGGCGGTCAAACAGGCAGGCAACCCAGCAAGCATGCAAGCATGCACACACACAGGCAGGTATGCAGGCAAGCACCCAAACAGGCAGGCAGCCATGCAGGCAAAGAGGCAGGCAGACAGGCAGAGAGGCAGGCAGATAGGCAAACAAGCATGCGGGCAGGCAGACAAAACGGCAGGCCGAAATTCGCAGGCAGGCAGGCGGGCACGCAGGCAGGCAGGCCGGCCCCCCCGCCACGAAACTTCACGGTCCTGGCCCCTTGGCATCCCTCCTTCCTGTCCCCAATCAAGCCCTTCACACCCGTGTGTCTGACCAGTCAAATTGAAGGACTCAATAATCGATAGCGGCTGTTGGAGGGATGAGGGAAGACGAGTGTGGAGTAAAAGCAAGTGTCATGCTCAATAGTGCGTAGCGGACATGTAGTCAGAGAAGGACTCAATAATCGATAGGGGCCGTTGATGTTGTGGAACCATCAGTGTGCATCCAAACTTAGGCAACATTCTGGTGCACATCCTAGCATCCGCCATCTGCTCGTGGACATTGCGCTATAAAGGTTAGAATGTCATCTAACTTTGCACGTGACATATTCTTCGTTCTTCATGCTGGTCCGTGCAGATGGTCAAGCATCCACTCAGCATAACACCACGGTCGAGACACATGGACGGAGAGCGGGTGAGGGATCATCACGCTCCGATGTGCCGATGTATATAGATCAAGCAGATGATATTGATTTTTCGAACGGTCATTACCTCTATGATGATCGCAAATTGCATGAGTACATCGAAGATTGTCAACAATTTGAGTATACCGTGCCGGTTGAGATGCATCATATGGAACAGCGTTGTCATCAGTCGAATGTTGTAGTGCGGTATGGTGTAGTAGGTAAGGTTCCAAATGATCATGCCTTAAGGGAAGCATTTGGTAGGTTCCTTACGGACAACGAAGGACTTCGTTGGACTCAGGATGAGTTGTTGGATATGTTCAAGAAGAAGGACGTGGAACTGAATGCCGTTAAGAGTGCGTTGGCGAGCATTGAGCTCAACGCAAAGTCAGTCATCGAAAGATTCCTTCAAAAGGAACGAAACAATGAGGGATTCCTCTGTGCCCAATAGTGTGCATGGCAAACAGGAGGCAAAACTTGACATGGACATGGAGATGGGGATTCGTTCTCGAATGCGGTCCAAGATTCGAGATGATTTGATTAATGAGATTGCTAAGCTTAGCACCCAAGTTTATCCCTATCTGCTGGAAGAGTGTGATGGTTTGCGTAGGCGACTCGAAAAGGTTGAATGTGCATTGAGGAGATTGGTGTCCTGTCGTGGCCTCGCAGTGGCAAATCCATCTTTTAAAAATCCAGTCTTCGAGTTTCCATCAGATGAAACTCTGGAGGCTCTTCCGAAAAGACATCTAATTGCAATGTTACATTCACTTCGAACTGTTGGTTCTGAGCTGGCGCATAGAAATGCAATGTTGGAGGTGCAAAATGCCATGAAGTTTCCTGTGAGCGACAACCAGATGAGGGCAACGGTAGTTAATCTTGGCCAATTGTATAAGGAGGCACGCGAAGAGTTGATGGATGCTGTGTTTGTGGACAAATTCGGTGACCGGTGGGATTACCACTCCAAGTTTTATTCGGCTCAGCATCATAATGAGCAGTTGTATCAGCTTAGGAAATTGCTTGCCGACGTCGTGCTAGCTCATTCGCCAAAACAATTTATGTAGGAGTTGGGCAATGTGAAGAAAGAGTTGAATGTTCTTGCAAGCATGAATAAAGAACATGAAAAAAGACTCAATGAGACTGTGATTGCATTGGTGGAATCTTTGAAATGCCAATGACCTAGATGTCGTCGAACATATTGGGCACGATTGGACTTTGCAAGGATAAATGAACTCTCGGTTGTTAAACCGAAATGTGATGGGAACACAAACATTTATCCCGATGGAGTTAGTAAGGTCAATGACGACGACAGCTTTGCGATGGAAGAAAGGAGGAGGCAACTTCGTGAATTCGCAGAGGAAGATGAATAGAGTGACATTTCATTATTGTTGAATTCGTCATTGAGAGGAAGAGAAGTAACAAGAGTGAAAGAGGAAGGAGGAGAGGAAGGAGGGGGAGGATGTAGGGTACGGGGATGACAGTAATTGCAGAAGGATAAGGGAGTTATATATAGGAGGGAGAAAATTATTGTTTATTGTTCTCACTGTAAACGCAAGGTTTGATGTATTGTTAGATACGTAGATGATAAATACTCAAGGGGCTTAGGATTTCATGTGTAAGCTTTAAGAAAATTTAAAATATAGTAATATTTAAATGTCGTTTTTATGTTTAGAGCGAGAGAAGAAGACAATATGTAATCATTCGACTTTTCTTTTTGTAAACGATGATAATAACTATTTATAATTTTAAATTATGACGCTTGACTTTTGTCTAAGAGATCTTCTATCTTTCTCTCTCCTTTCTCTCTCTTTAAACTCTCGCTCTTTCTCTCTATTTGACTCTCGCTCTCTCTCTCTCTCTCTCTCTCTCTCTCTCTCTCTCTCTCTCTCTCTCTCTCTCTCTCTCTCTCTTTGTCATACACACATACATATACACGTGCATACCTGCACACACACTCTTTCTCTCACTCTCTCTCTATCTTTTTCTTTTCTTTTCTTAGTTTTGCCATTTTTTCATCTATCAACAATTTTATGCCTTGCCGCATAAGAGTATTTACAATAAGGGAAGACTGCTCTAAGTGCTCCCCCCCCCCCCTCTCCCTCTCTCTCTCTCTCTCTCTCTCTCTCTCTCTCTCTCTCTCTCTCTCTCTCTCTCTCTCTCTCTCTCTCTCTCTTGCGTACACACTATTTCTCGAACTGTTTTTCTATCTTTGTTTTCTCATTTGATATCAAATTCCTTGCGGAATAATGAGCTCGTGTATGTATTGTTTTTTTTTTTTCTCAACATGCAACACCATTAAAATAAATAAAAATACAAAGTTCTTTCGTTGGGCCTTTTGCTTGCCGTTGCATCTGCTTTCTTTATGCTCCTCCAACTTCTCTTTTTTTTTTACATTTTTTCTAGGCCACCAGAGTGGCCTCATACCGCTTGCCCGACCGGGCCAAAAATAAATTAAAAAAAAAAAATCAATTCTATTTTTTTTTTTTAATTGGTAAATAATTTCGATGTCACCCTGAGGCAAAAATTGTTCAATTTATTTTTTTGCATAACATAATTTTTTTTTCTTTTTTTTCTTTTGCTGTAACCTTCCCTGGTCCTTGCACGACTAGGCCGCCTGGGAAAACAGGGTGACCCGAGCGGCCCGGCTGGTAGCCTAGTTTTTTTTTTTTTTTTTACAATCTGTTGTTTCTCTCACTTTTTCATTGTAATTTAAATATTAACATTTGTTAACACATTTTTGTTAATGTTGTATGTTGTTGTATGTGTTCATTTTTATATAATTGGGTTTATTAATGAACAACAATCAGGTAAGTATCCTTGCAAATTCGAAAAGGAAATGACTTGAAAAAGGATGCGATTTGTTAGAGCTTGAAAGGATAAGTAGTATGGAAAGGATTGGGTCACACCATGTATTTGTAACGAATATTGGAGAAGGAACCACTCCGAGAAGAAGGAAGAACGTCGGCAATAAACTTAGCCCTTCTCCCAAGGCACCCATGCTATCCCGAATGACCTCCTCTCACCTGAGCCTGTTCTATTAAGTGATATTCTCTGGCCCCTTTGCTCCTACCTCATCAAAGGATGATAAGTAGTATGGGAAGGGTTGGGTCACACCATGTATTGCTAATGAATATTGGAGAAAGAAGCAGATCCGATAAGAAGGAAGAAAGTCGACAATAAACTTAGCCCTTTTCCCAAGGCGCCCATGCTATCCCGAATGACCTCCTCTTACCTAAGTCTGTTCTAAAAAGTCATATTTTTTGCCCCCATTGCTCCTATCCCATCAAAGTCGCCTAAGCAAGAGAGGAGAAGACATGTGGGGACGCTGACGTCGATCGCTAGGAATGGCTCTCTCAAGAACCACGACCTTCGAGGCTGGCTGGGGAGAGATGCGGTACGCCGCATAGACCCATTTATGGGGGTGGTACAATGCTGTTGTGGTGGAGCCAGCGCCTACTTCTGAGTTTCGGGCCTCGTGCCCGGGCGAGGAGAACGAGTACTCTGTACTATTTCCTAGCGATCGGCGGTCGGAAGGGTGGTGGAGACCACTTACCTTCTTCAACTCTTATGTGGATGGATGACTGACTTAGGATACCCAAGGTTGACCGCAAGTAGGAGCCGCCTTGCTTACGTTGGATCGGAGCCATAAGAAGTTCCGATCCATATTAAACATTTATACGAACAGGAAAATGGGTTTTGTCGGAGCACGGCAATCGTGGGCAAACAAGGTACGCATGCCTCTTTTACATGGGGCCCTGAAAAGACTAAGGGGCGTATAGGATTATGAATGAGGCATAAGAAAACATAGCTCTTGAATTGAGTTTGGGGTTGGTATGGTGCCTGTATTTGTTTATGGATGTCAATCGATAGACTGAAGTAGCGAATAAGAAATCATTGCGTAGCGATACGTCAAAGAGAAAAGCGCCCCCCTCTTGCTTGCATTGAGTAGCCGTTGACTCCATGGAGGAACAAAGGTAAAACCAACCTTGAGATATAAGCGGAATCCGGCCCAAAGGCCGTTTCCAATGCCCTCCTCTCTAAAGGGGTTGGATTGTATAATGCAAAGTGAATTTTTTTTATTTTTTTTTGGGGAACTGACCCGTTAATTTCTTGATTTTTTTGCTTGCCATTGCAACTGTTTTTTTTTGTACTCGCAACACCTTCTCTTCCTATTTTGTTTATTACTTCATGTTATATTATTTTTCATTATAATTTAAAAATGACAGTTTTCTAAGGCATATTTTTCAGTCGCGACTTTCTATATCTGTTCACTTTTATGTCGTTGAACTTATTTCTTTTCTTATATCCATATAGAAATGCATATGCATTAGACTACTAATATGCCAGAGGACGAACCTATGCGCGATGTTTCAACCAATAGCGCTGCACCCTTTGCGTCTACTGCGGATATGTCTTCGGAAGTTCCGCGGCGGCGCCGCAAATGCCTTCGACGATGCCAAAGACATGTTAGCGATCCTTTATCGTCCTCACTAATATTGCCACAATATAGTCAATCTCCTTCTGAATCAATTGTTCTCACTCGATTGACTTTCTCTCCGTTCGATCTCCCTTCTTCCTCATCCAACTATCCGTTCGCATCTGATGTATGCTTAGATGTGTCCCGCTATGCTTCTATGAGTGGGACATTGATCTCATCGCAAGACGTACACCGCAAGCATGGACGACCAACTTCGCAAAGTCGTCGAGCTAAAAGGTCTAGAATACAGCCAATGAATGCAGAAGGTGTGGCTCATAGTAGAGATAAACAACCGATCGTGAGTGAATATGGTGATCCGCATTCTTCTATCGAAGAACATCTTAGTGATAAGTCTTTTTTTTTTGCAAAACCAAGTGCACTGTCACAAAATTTCGCAAGTCCTATATTCTTCAACATAATGACACAAGAAAATGTTCATGCTCATTCTGATTGTGTTCGTTGTTATAGAAGTCCCTCGCTGACCTTGCAAAGTCAACGACCGATTGAGATTGATCCGAATGTTCTGATGAACACGGATTCACTTGCAACTGGTCAAACATCCGTTCGAATAGAAAATGTTTCCTCACAGTCTATTGATGTGCATAATTCATCATTATCGGTTTTGACTGTTGATGTCCAACAAAGAATCGTACGGACTAACGTTTGTCCTCCAATGACAAATGTTGAATCACTTTCTCATTCTGCGCCACCCGTTTGTGCGCATGCATCTTTGTTTTCCAACACCGCGTTAAATTCGCCGAATACATCGTTGAGAAAATTTGTCGGATTTAAGAACCGGCAAAAAAAATTATTATTATGGAAACCGATTCGTGCAAGACGTGCCAGACGTTACCGTATGTTATTGGTTCGGCAACGACGTGCTGATAAAATTGTTCGTCGTTTGGAGTTTGGCCCGTTAACTGAGAATAATAAATCCTCAATGCTTGAGCATATCTCATCAGACCATGACGCACGTACAATAAATCTCGAGAACAATGTACGTGTTCATGGACGAGCACGAAAAATAGATAGAATCAATAAGAATGCATCATGTTCTGCATCGTGCCCAAATTCAAAACCAATGCGAATGAAGCATAAACACGGTAATAGTCATGTTAGGTGTATGCGTGCATTAAGAGCTCGCATAGAGAATCGTAAGAGAAAAGAAGATTTACGTGCAACCTAAAATTTTGCACGTCGTGTGAGGAGAAGGCGGTTTGCTGTAAGTATCATTCATCAAATTCAAGGGACCGACCCTGCACAATCAAGGAGTCATTCTCCTCGGGGAGGTCAATCACGACACGCATCTTCTGCAAACCGAAATGCAATGAACAATCTTGAAAATAGTGATCCGCATAGCTGTGAACAAGAAATGAATGAAGCACATGACATACAGATTTCTTATCTTAATGCACTTCCATCTGCACCTGTTGCAACAACGTATGCAGCCGTTGATAATACGGCAACAATCCTTGAGAACGCTAGCACTGTTGAGCCGTTTGACATTGGCGATCGGGAACCGTGTACGCATTGCGGTGCAAAATTGTGGCATCACGAAAAAAAAAGGTCTAAGATGTGTTGCAGAAAAGGTGCGAGACTTTGTCCTCTGTGGGAATGGCCGGCTGAAGGTTCACCGGAGCATGAAATTCTTT